GCAGCAGCAGCAGGGCAGCAGCAGCAGGGCAGCAGCAGCAGCAGCAGCAGCAGCAGGGCAGCAGCAGCAGCAGCAGCAGCAGGGCAGCAGCAGCAGCAGGAGGAGGAGGAGCGGCGCCGAGTTGCCGAGCAACTGAGAATTGCGAGATGTTCAGTTGGAAGGGCGATTCGTCGTGGTTAAGTAACCAGGCCGGTTTAAATTCCAGGAAGACGATGATGGTGGAAAGGCGACTTCCGTAGGCTAGACAAGTACCTGTTAGCCGTGTTTGTACCATACTGTTCTTGTCAGTAGTGATGGCCCGAGTGTGTTTAAAGGACATTTATGTATGCGTGCGCGTATGTACGTTTGCGTACGCGCGTGCGTGCGTGCATGTGTGCAATTCTGCGTTTGTCCGTGGTTGTCAACGCCGAACGCGCTGTTTCTGTGCAGAAAATGAATAGATGGACGGGGCAATACTGACGAGCGCCGAAACACGAGACTCGCTGTGGCAGGTGATAGCTCGTGCGTTGCTGTTTAACCGTGTGATTCTTAGCCAAAAATATCTTGGGAGAAGTGAGATAGGGAAATCACGTAAGCAGCCGCTCGCCGTCACGCGTAGTCACACGACAGTGAAACGAGAGCGCATTTCCTAGCCTTACTGACAGGTGGCGTGTCTGTGCCATCGCTTAGCACTGCGCCGTTGTTGCTCGGAGGCATTACACGTGTAATTCCATCACCAATGCTGTTATAATGATGGTGAGCTTGAGTAGGTAGCTTAGGTGTAGAAGATTGGGCGTGCGAAGATTGGTTGTCCTATTGACTACATGATGCATGCGCGCATTTGCGTCAGCGACGTGACATTTCGATGGTTCGCTTGATATTAAGCGTAGGCCTGTACCGTAGTATTTGGACGCTCGCCCGAAACTGGACGCTCCTAAGTGCGCATGCGCGCAGGCGCCTCTTGTTTTGCAAGGGCGCACACAGCGCATGCGCAGTAGTCATCTCGCATCTTGCCCATCGAAACGGTCGCAATAAACAAACATGGCGGACTTCCCGGTCACTGATGGAAACATTTGATTGAAACAATTTGCAATATGTAGTAAATTAGTAAGACTGTTATGTGCATAGGTTATGTGTGTCAGGTTACAAGGCGAAAAAAAAAGAAAAAAAAGCATGGCTACTATTTCCTACGGCCGTGCAAAACAAGATTCAAACAAAAAGGAAACAGGAGCAAAACAAAAAAGCATGCCTACAAAGCGTCCAAATACTACGGTACAGGCCTACGGCCACGCACTTTAACTTAGACGCGCATTCGTTCGCGAAAAATGGCGCGCGGTCACACAGCTAGCTGCACTTTGTGGTTAATTTGTAAATAGTGGAGATGTAATTTTTCTGGAAATATGATTTTAATGACGGAGACGTGATGGTTTTATCCGTAGCTCGTTTCTGCGGTCACGTGATCGTAGTACGTGCTCTTGGTACAGGTTGGCCGATTTCGAACTTCGATCTAACCTCGTCTCTATGAGGTGCGTTGCCATGGTAGGAATTATAGTTGAGTTGGTCACGCCTGTCAAGTAATCTTGTGAGAAAGGGCTACGTCTGCCAAAATACCTTTGGAATTGTACATAACGTTGAGCTCTGTTTGCGTCGAACCGAATTTATTTCAGATTGCGTTCGAAGGTTGAGGCACGGTAGGAAATTAAGAGAGTTTTAGTCTGTAATCTTTCTCATACTTTTAGTGATACGATCAATGTCCGGCAGCACGTAAATGAATGGACGTAGGCGCAGGTGAGCCTACGTGATGCACCCGGTGTGGTTGAGAGGTCAACGCTGCTCGAGCTAGGGTTTGCTGAAAATGCTGCACGTGGTTAGTGTACGTATGTGTGTGTGATCATGTTCAGGTGAGCAAAGGCGGCTCAGTTGTGCAGTTGTTCTCGCCGATGAGAGAACAAGCGGCCGGTGTCTAGATGCAGGCACTGCTGCGTCTCTCACCATTCCCTTCCCCAGTGCCGTCGCCGTATTTGAGCGATAGCAAGAATTAAGTAATTATGTGCTAGTAAGGAACCTAGAGGGCATTATATATATATATATATATATATATTATACAACAATATCATAATGCTATACATTCTCAGCAGTCTAGACTATATATATATATATATATATATATATATTCAAGGCCCTTTATGCATCAGCATATCTAGCGCCAGTGGAAGGGCTGTTGCGCGTGCTTTCGATGGTGTGGAATCCACAAGTTGTGTGCCCGCGATGCGCTATGATCAGCGTACGCTGTTAGCGTGTTCGCGTCACACTTTTCAAATCAAGTTTAGCATTTGCGAATCATATTTCATGTGGATTAGAAAACTGCGAATCGGTTATCATGTTGCTGTAACTTGGAGTGAATTGTATTTTTTACTCACCTTTTATTTTTATCGAAATCAGATCATTTGCAAGAATTAAATACAATAGCTAATCATCTAATAGCTAATCTGTTTAACATTTTGATTAGCAAAGTAGTAATCAAAAATCCGTGGCATAACCTGACTTCTTCTTGTCTTCTTGAGTCATCCAATGCCGTGCGGCGTCGGTGAAGTATTCACGAAGTTCGAACTCCATAGTCCTCGATTGACCATTACGGCGTAAAGGTCTGCTCCTGTGAGGCCGGTGTCCCTCTCAATGACTGATTTCAGGGTGACGTATGGCCGGCGGACCCCTCTCCTTGTATCTGGAGTCCAGAGCAGCAATCTTCCAGCAGGTTCATCGTGGCGAATGACGTGCCCAGCAAGGGCCAGACGATAATGCCTCACTACGTCAGATATACGAGGCAGTGAGCCGTATAGTGACTTGTTTGTTAGATGGTGTCTCCAGGAGATGTTGTAGGCTGCACGAAGCATTCTTGTGTAAGTGCTGTCAAGTCTCTTTTGGCGGGTGATATTCAATGTCCACGATTCCGAGCCATAAAGAAGAATAGTTTCAATGCAAGCCTGAAATACTTTCGTTTTTGTATCTTTCTGAATGGGTGCTTTCCACAACTTCTGCAATGAGTGGAGTGCACTCCATGACTGCGCTATTCTCATACTCATGTCGTGACTAGAGTCAGTGTAGCCACCCAGATACTTGAAGTCGCCCACAAGTTCGATGTCTGATCCATCTGACACGTGCAGGCGATCTTCTGTAGATGGATTAAGGTGCATGTATTTCGTCTTAGGTGCATTTAGAAACAGGTCGACATGAGAAGATCTTGTGCAGCTTCGATTGAATTTTCGAGAAGTGCTATATCATCAGCATAGTCGAGGTCAGCTAAGACTTCGGCAGGGTGGCGCCGACTGCGACGTTGTTTCAGTGTAAGACCGTCGGATTCTGTGATCGATGTGTGCAATGCATAATCCAGGCAGATGATAAATAAAAATAGAGCGAGTGGGTCACCCGGAAGAATGCCTGTGTCGATGTTGAAAGCATCAGTCTCACCCTCTGGAGTGATTACTACAGCAGAGGTATTCTCGTACATGACTCGGATCGCTACAACTACGTCAGGAGGTATACCGTACGCTTCGAGGATTTCAAACATTTTCGGTTGATGGAGTCGAAGGCCTTTCGGAAGTCGATGAACGTTACTATGGCTTCCATGTCATGATTCTTCAGTTCTTCTACGATACGTCAAAGAGCAAGTATATGGGAAGTGGCGGAACGGCCTTGACGAAAACCATTCTGATTCGGACGCAATACCTCGTCGACAACTGGACGGATTCTGTTGAGTAGACAGCGGTTGTAAATTTTGGATGCAACTTGTGAATGAGAAATACCTCTGTAATTGTCTGTTTTTGTTGGGTCGCCTTTCTTTGGGATTTGGTATTAGGCCAGAGATTCCTCACTCTTTGGGGCGTCTTTCGTGATAGGTCTCATTACAGAACTTTAATAGGCTCTTCCGCACCTTTTTCAGTTTCCAAAACTTCGGAGGTAGACCATCGAGGCCAGGTGCTTTCCCGTTCTTTAACCGTCGAATGGCAATATCTACTTCTGCCTGCGTTAGCTCGTGGTAAACTACTCGTGGGTAACCTGACTAATATGATATCAATTTTCATTCCAATCAGATAACCATGTGACGTTTCTAGCAACTTTACGTGCTGTTAATTATTGCAGCTCTAGCAGCATATCAATAGCATGTAACAAGCCAGCCACCAATTGCCCAACTGAAAGTAGAACTGGTTTTTGAATATTTTATGATCGACTGTCCAGTTATTGCCACTGTTCCTATTATGTTGCCATCGTTGTAGGTACTCATTGCGATTATGTTTGGACCTACTTAACAACGCTGGTTAATTGAAAATAGCTGCCTCAGTCACATGTGTTACGGCTAGTTTTCTTTGTGACATCGCTGGCACGCATCGACAATATTTTGAGTGAGCAGAAAACATTAATATTCAACGCATCTAACGAGATGATTTTAACAACATGTGCGCTGATAAAATAGATTAGATACGCTGTTTCTTTGCCTTTGATTTGCTGTTAGGCGCGGCGTTGAAGTGATTTATCATTGTATTAAATATTAATGATGTTATCACGTGACCAAAATAGTTTGTGCTTTCGATTATGATAAGAGGTTTTTTCCTGACGTATATTCATAATCGGGTTTGTCATTTATTCGTGTGCGTATAATTTATTGTTGGAAAATGTGTTGAGAAAAATCCCGAGCGCCTGTAGCTCATGATTACTATTATGATTCATTCCTATGACCTCGATGTACCGGTCTCAATGCTTCCCGGTAACAGATGATAGAGCTTAATTACTGTTTGTGGCTGACCGCGCGCGGCTCAATTATGGGCGCGCCTAACGGTAGCTTTGTGCTGTATATGTCTTTCCACGTACAATAGAACACTACATGTTGAAACGGCATCATTGGTCTTCGATTTTTAACTCACCTTGATATCGTCAAGATGAGCTATTTGCCATGGGCGTCGTCCGTCGTACGTCCGTCCGTCAACATTTGGCTACGGTCAACGATAACTTGAGAACCGTTTGACCCACATGTTTCAAATTGCATACAGTTGTTACTCTTATGGGAGGGATTTGAACGTCCTATTTTGGAGCACGCCAGTCGACCTACTTTGGAGCCACGCCCATTTTTTGGCAAAAATGAAAATGCCCATCTAGATTCATTCGATTTTGTTAAATTTACCTACCTATACTTACTTACTTACCTACCTATCTACCTACCTACCTACCTACCTATACCTACCTAATCATACCTACGTGTAATATTTTGGTTTAGATTCTTCGTTACAGTAATTTGACTGGAATATTATAGTGCTTTTATTTGCGCGATAATCAAAAACCAAAATGGCGATCATTTAGGCGTAGCACCATCTCTCGCCCAGATCAGACTTTCAGATCTGAAACATTTATTTTCGCACCAAAACTAACCCTGAAACAAAACAGTGACATTTCTATTAATATAAAACAGGGAATAAGGACATTTGATCACATTTCAGTCCGTCATAAATGAAACACTTACCAAATTTCTCTCTCTTCTATCACACCCAAGGTGACCTATAGTGTCATTTACACGTTTATTCGTTTTGGATTGAACTGGGCAACATATTCTACGCGTGTACACCAACACGGCGTGGCTGGTGATTTAACCGTGATGCGTTGCTGTTCTGCTGGGCGACATGTGATAGCTGGAGACAAACAATTACAGCGAGAAAGGCCCGTAAAAACTGTCAAAGACATCGTCGTGTTATCACGTGGTGACGAGTGAAGCTATGAAAGATGCGCTGGACGCAGCACTAGTTTTTTGACTGGCACAACGGCTACACTGCGTTTCATATATTCAACGTGAGTTTTGCAACGCATTTTGAATGCACGCACACTACACACAAACGCGCGTACGCACGCACGCACACTTATGCACGAACGGGCGGCCTATAAGATGGTCATTTCAAGACAGAAATAGCCATGCCGTATTGTTCTCGTCGCTGTTTGCGTCGCAGTGTACTGCTGCACACGATTCGGTAGAGAATTAAGCCGCGCGTAATTAGACGCAACCTAATCAATAACATCGAGGCAGTGCCTCGCCAGCTCACCGCTGGCCAACTGCGTAGATGTTTCTAGCACTTGTATGTTTGCAGGCAACCATGTACTCCGGCTTCTACGTTTGTGTGTATGCGTGTTAATATGTAATGTAAGAGATCTGGATGTGCGGTATCCGGGGTCCCGCGGTGCAAACTCCGGTAGTCCAGCTGTGAATTATCGGTATACCCAGGCACCATTAATTAGTTGTGTGCGCATCTTGAATCTAGCTGTGAGGTTTGTTGTTCTGCAGCTACATAATTATAATGGTACGTCTGTATCAATGCACGCCTCAAATGTAGTGTGTACGTATTTAGTCCCGCTATATAAACTGAATATGTATCTATAATCTATAGCTTTACATACATGTGCGTGTAGCCAAGAAGTATTAGTGACTGCAATCTATCAGCGTAGATGCTTGTAGCCTACAGGTACTAGTTTCCAGCTGTAGACTAGAGGTATAGCTGTGTAGTTGTCTGTAGCAGTCCATCTGTATCGATGACCGTTATATATCTAGCTGTATAGATGCCCGTTGTGTATAGATATAGCCGTGAATTAACGTTCGTGTATCATGCCTTCTGCGCACATAGTTTCTCTAGGCCGAGAGAGAATCTTCTAGGGCTTCACGACGAACGCATGTACGGAAAGCTCTCACCTATAGTAAACTTACTGATGGAAACCCTTCAGTTGGCGCCCCCAAGCGGTATAAGCACATGGTAAAAAAAGGACCTGAAGAAACGTTGAATAAACCCCATATAAACACTGCAGAATGACTGACATGGCGGAGGTTGCGTAGTGCCTGCACCGAGATAACCAGGAAGAACGAGCAGGAGCGCATGGCCGACGTTAGTAAGGAGAGGAGGCCGCGAGGACGCCGCGGCAACAACACATATCTGAATTCTAGAAAAGTCCAGATCGTTACGAAAGTAAAGTTAGTAGAAATGTACATATAGTTAGTAAATATCAAGTAAATATACATAGATATCTTGTGGGCTAGTTTGTTGACACTTGTATAGTGTATAAGTATATGTTTTTAATATAGCCGTAGGCCTATTTCCTAGTGAATTATATTCTATACCTGCTAGAGTAGCTTTGTAGTAATCGTTTGTTTATGATTGTTCGCTTTTTGATTGAATTGTTTATTTAGGGAACCGTATGCCGCTCTACTAGGAAGCATATATATTGCATTATTGTAATGCTATTCACATTTAACGAGACTTTTTTATGAACTAAATCAATTAAAGTACGACGATTAAGTGATAAATACCTCTTTAATTTGCATATCATAGCGACGCGTATAGAGGCATAGAAAGTAGTACTTTGCCATCATCGTCGTTTGCGGTTTAATGCAATGATATTACGTTCGGGGTGACTGTTTGGAATTTAGAAAGTAAAATGTGTATACAACGCCGAATAATGAGGGTTAACCTGTTCAAGTCTAGACTGAGAACTTGGCTGCACACTAGATTGGAGAGTCGGTGGTTGTATGACAGTTACTAAATTGTTTTCCATTGACGACCATACTAAGTTTGAATTTCCTATAAATCAGCGGAAATTACTTTGATAAATGATAATGCTAAATTAACATTGCAAGACAAAACTTACTTTTTAAACTCAAATATTCTGCTATAAGTTTTTTTTCGAACAACCCGTCAATTTTAAACGCAAGTAGGCTTCGCGTGTTCCTTTTCAGTCCGACACACGAATACACAAATAAAGAGGCAGCGGCTGTGCCGAATATAGCAACAAGTCTAGCTTTGAGTAATAACTTTAAATCCCGTGCAGCCTGCATCGCTTGACAAATAAAAAATAAAACGCCTGTAGACACGCCCTGAATATCATAATTATATATTATATATTATTTCACCGCACCTACCGCTGATTGGATGATTTGGGAGTGTAATACTCGCTATAGAGTATAGACGATCCTGAAATAGATTTTGTAAAAGGGACCTCGCGGGCTCACGCAGCAGTCCGTGCGTGCGTGCGTGCGTGCGTGCGTGCGTGCGTGCGTGCGTGCGTGCGTGCATGCGTGCGTGTATATGTATGTATTAGGGGAGTATATATGGGCATATATATTGACCACCGGCTACAAAAATTTATAACTATAAACTATACTAGTCCTTAGATGGGCCCGTTACAGTCAGAGTTACCTGTTTCAAAGTTTTATTTATTTATATCAATCATTTTCTTATCAATGTCATATTATTCAGACTAATAAATGCTTGTGTGCAATTTTTTTTACATGAATTAAAACAAGAAAACCCGGACGTATGTCGTACATTGATATGCTCCTGTAGCAGAGTTTGAAAAGTTATATCATCGCGCCATCTAGTGGCATTTGCACCTATCATGAGCGATATATTATAGAGACAGCTAATTCCAAATGTAGACAAAATGCGCGCACACTAACGCGGACGCATAATATATTCGTGCGATATGTCAACAAATAACAAAATATTGCGAAGCAAATAGTTTCGATGATAACGTGACCAGCTTAAATAACGATGTGAAAATTTCCCGAGTTATCGCCGTTAGGAGACAATGGAATAGTTGTAGGTATAGTTGGATGACAACATCCCACGAACGAGCTCAACCGAGCTATAACGATTTGAATTGTAAATACTAAGCAAAAATATAACTAATCTAACTCTTCAAACATATCGTTCAAAGGCGTTAGTGGCAAGGTGGATTTGCAATGTGCAACTGACAGATAATAGGCATCCCAGTATATGCCAACATATTTGCCGATGATGTGTAGTATAATAGCGTAATGATCATAGATATCATATAATACATCGCCATGTGTTATAATATTATATGATATATTCTATAGTAATGACGTTATCGATTTTCGGGCGGCAGGTGGCGCTACACGCTGAGTCATCAGTCACCAAGCCGACATGGGGACGTCAACGGAGCTATATGTCATCTCTGTATCAGGCAGTTGACATTTTGGTCGTGGCTATCACGTTTTTCTCTCTACTAGATGTGATAATCGTTCTCGCGATTGATATTTTACTAACGTAAATGGATCTTTTAGTTGGCGTCCTACAACAGTAGAAGGCGCCCATAGGTAGCAGCCCTGAATAAGAATCGAACAGAAATTAATTAAAAATACTCGTAGAGCCTTTCGTCGCATACACAACATACACTTTATTCATGCTAAATAACCACAGATTCAAGGTCTAACCTCCGCTCGAAACTTTTTCCAGCTAAATGATGAGCATTTCTAGACTCGTCGGATCCCGTTTCAAACACAAAAATAACCGACCGGTCACCATGGCCACACCACTGACGCAATGGCACAATTACACGACAAACCCAATCTCACTTTTAATGCCTTCTAAACATCCTCGAGATATCAACCTTGAATGCATAATGCACTCTAGTTCCGAATTTTACCGCAAAAAAATCAAAAGATAATCCTTTTCTATGGAGGAAATAGTGCAGAACTGGTGAACAATTGGCGGAAGGCTATTGTTGTATGCCACCTTTAGAAGACGGCACCGTAGGATGTTGGTGGGCATGATTGCGATGCCACCTTGTTTCAGCAGAGGTGGCGCCAGAGATGACGGGCCCCTTAGCCCCGTTGGAAGAAGAATCGGTAACTCGTTGGGGGAACGATCTACCGGCACTTGGAACGTTTCAATAATTCTCCAAAGTTAATAAACACAAAAAAACAATCCAAGTGACTGTGCCCTAACTCCGTTGGAGTAAGAATCAGTAACTCGTTGGGGAACGATCCATGAAAGAAATTTGTAGTCGCTTCTCATCTGCGCGCTAGTCGCAGTAACGTCTAAATGCAATCAGCGGAATGAAGGACTGCTTTATCTGTGCGAATGATATATGTATTACAATATATGATCAACAGATTTTGTTATTAGTTATGCCTTATGGTTACGGTTACAGTTACGGTTACGGTTATAGTAATGCTTATGGTTATAGTTATGGTTATAGTTATAGTTATAGTTATAGTTATAGTTATAGTTATAGTTATAGTTATGGTTATAGTTATAGTTATAGTTATAGTTATAGTTATAGTTATAGTTATGGTTATAGTTATAGTTTGATCTGTAGCCCTAATTGATGTTTTCAACGAGCGAACGCGTCTTATATTGCCCACAATCTATGCCAATGCAATTAATGCCGACATCTGTCGCTGTCGCCTGAACAATTAAGCTTCTCGTGTGAGTGGCCAGTGTTCTTCGTGATCGTAAACCCTTTTGTGAGGCGAAGTCGTGTTCGGCGTATATCCCCCCCCCATCCCCGCCCAACACGACGGTGCTAACCGAATCCAGTATTCCCGTCCCCGGTCGTCGTAACCCTAGAAACTTCACAGAGACTAGTCTTGGCATAACATACACTCGGGAACAAGAGTAACGAGTTCCGATAGAGGGGGGAGTGAGCGACAGCAGACGTAGTTCGTGGCACGACAGGTGCAAGAGAACAATCGTAGGAGCAAACGCAGAACACTGCCACTATTACCACTATGAAGTAAAACAAGCCAGATATTCTAACTTGCAGTGCTGCGATGGATCTACTGCATCCCAGCTAACAACCGAATAACCCAGTATGCAATCTAGCGCTGACTACGCCTATACGGTATTACTAGGCCGTACTTAGCCGATGTCAGCATGTTGCTTTTCTGCAAAAAGGTAAATGTTTATGAAATAAATCGCAAAAAGCGAGCGATCTTGGAGATGACAGAATTGTAAGTTGTCCTCTTCGTGGGAACAGTCAGATTATACACTCGTGGGAGTGAAATGGAACCTTCTCTATAATTCATATACAGCTATTCACCTGCTGGGGAGATTCGGCTCCGAAGCTAGCACATCGAACAGGATTGCTTATGCAACCAGACAAGAGTTGCAAAATATCGGGCGCGAAATACCGTGTCACAGATTTCTATATACGGAAAAGTATGGTGCTGTTATTTAAATGCGTTATTGGTGTGCGTAGCGTCTACGTATCTTTTATATGATACTCCCGCTAAAGCCCTGCTTCTAGCTCAGCACGCTGTCCGCTTCGAGGCAATACGGATCACATTCGGGAAGAAATGTTTCTTAATAACGACGCTGATTACAGTCGCTTGCATGCAGCAGTAACACCCGTCTCCTGTCGCGATCCATTACGGGGATGTGACTGGACGTAAATCTCGTATGCGGTGCAGGTCGTTTGTCACGTAGGCCTGTCTCACTCGTGCGCCCACAAGTGCACATGCGCGTCGCGCGTATGCGTGCATTTGTGCGTGCGTGAATGAAATGATACATTTTATGATACTCTGTCCTCGCACTATACACTACAGCACCAAATCTTTTTCCTCATTGCTAATGACGCGAACGTTTTAGTACTTTACCGAGGTGAAACATAATCTCAGCCCACTCACGTCTAATAATACCTGGCAACGCAGCAAATGAAAAAGTGAATGTAGAGAAGAGAGCGCGCGTAAACGCTAGCTAGCTGAGCGAGAGCTGCGATACCTCGAGGGGAGAGGGCGGATGGACGCAGGTTGCTATTGATATTCACGCTCGTAAACTACGACGACAAAAGTAGTTCATGCTAGTAGACCTCGCTTCTAGTAGCATGATAAAAGCTCGATTCGCCCAACGGCGCTTCCATCACAGTCTTGATCAGCCGCCACTCGATCGGCTTCCTAACAGCAAATGTCAATTATATCAAGAGCTATAATAATATATTATATTATTATATTATATTATATATTATATTAATGGTAATATTAGCTTGTGACTATATGATTTTTCTTTGCGTGTAAGAACGTCGGATTTCGCAGCAGCGAGGCAGAACTGCTGTTTGTTGGTGACAGCACAATAGCTAGTCTTGCGATTGTCGTTGCATTTGTGGCGGTATTAAACGTAATCCGCCTTCAACGCGTACACGGCTTAACTAATGGCGACTCCGTGTCGCACTCGCGTTTTGATCCGCAGTGCACGATGTATGAACAAGGCGAAATCGGTGGAATTAACCGCCGTGTTCTAATTCTAGGCGGTAATCTTTTTGAACCCGAGAGCGTGCGGTAAACAAGTGAACGATCTCATGTGACATCGTCCACGTGACGACATTAAGTGTTCTCTTATATAGATCGCTGAATAGTGGTGACAGCACGAGTGCGCGACACTACGTAAGATTTATTCGTGAAATTACACTCAATGGTTAGATCGTTCGTATTTTTTATACAATATTTTATTCCAAATAGTAATATGTTAGGCGTTTAACATTATACCCATGAACAGCGTATAGCCAGCTATATGACTAGCACTCTAGCTAGCTAGCTGTGCAGATAAACTTAATTAGTAGGCCTACTTAAAATTAATTATTCATGTTATTAATATTTGTTAACGGTGCCTTCCCGGTAGATCGTGTCATCTGACATCTGGCAAAAATATAACTATTTTAAAGTTAAAGGTTATGCATTTAATGTTGTGCATTTATATTGCATGACCGACAAACAAAATTTTTCGGCATAATGCTTCAAGTCTTTTCTCAGAAAGTATAGTTAACGAGACAAACGTTATATGTCGCGTATTTCATTTGCTGCTCCTTTGGTAGGACTATATGACATATAGTGTCGTAATAGTTTCTTGCAGGAAGTAAGCCAGAGAAGGCGCCTATAGGGAGGCTCTCGCCTCATTTAGGCATGTATGCAGGCCTGATATATGTTGTTTCGGTTGAAATAGACTGACGCAATTTAAAATCGAAAATATATAGTCAGAATTTATCGGATTGCAACCGTTATTCTGTAAAAAATCTATTGACGAACCTCCAACCCATCCTCTACTCCGCATTTGCCGCCGCGGACTCCCTCCCTTCCAAAACATCTGGATTCGTCCCCAAATTGGGTACTCAGGGGCAGGCTTCTCACTTTGCTATTTCGACGAGAGCTGTAAAGCTATTGCAAACGTTCATGTGATGCCTTGTAAGAAAATAATAACTTTGTCGGGAAAGACCGCCTATTTTTTTTAAAGCGCGGCGGGCGAGAAAAACGCTTTCTCGCAGTTTTCAGCTGTCACGCTTGTTGTTGACGCGGTTTGCTTCAGAGTCTTTTGCTGATAAGTCTTTCTGGTTATAATATGAGCACAGTGCTCATATTAATCCGCGCTTTTTCTCTTGTAGTTCAATCTAGTATTTACGTTGGTTTTTCTGTGATTTGTTACAAATTGCTTACGTTAGTTACGAAGGAAAACATATCTATTATATTTATATAAATAATAAATCCATGTAACAACAGAAAAAACAGCAAACTTCACAAGCGCACATAAATGCGAGAATATCTAGCTACGTTCGCAGGCGACAGTTTGAGTATAGCGTCCGAAATGCAATACATCGTTGTGAATTGCCGTTCATGTGTTTTAGAGATGGACTAGAGATGCACTGGCGCATCTGCGAATTAAAAAATCAGATAATAAAGTCATTTTAGCTCGTGGTGTTTATTTTTTTTTTAATCGTCATCGTAGCACAACAAATGGCGCTGGCGGACAGTCTTGTGATTGAAACATTCCCCAGTCAATTTAATCGGCAAACCTTCGGCTGACATGCTGCGCACCTCCATACATTCATTCATACATTAATTAATTAATTAATTCATTCATTCATTCATTCATTCATTGCGCTGTGCTCCTTCATTCATTAGATGGCCAAGGCGACCGCGTTGTGACGCCTGCCATGAAATATTCGGTCTCTCCATGAACCTACTGTGGAAATGTAATTACGTGGACACCTTCGCTTCTCATCTTACCATGCGTAGACGAAAAAAAACTTGCGTATGCGAAACTTATTTCCGTAAACGGCTTTAAGCCAATCACATGCACGGTCAAATAGATTTCTGAGAAAACGTGATGCTATAATGTTACAACATACCGCGAGCGTAATAAAAGCTATAGAGCTTATTATCAATAAACAAATAACATCAAATGTTTTCTTGACAGGGATGAGAATTCTCCGCATATCCGCGGTTTTCATGTATTTTGTCGGGTTGACATTTGAAATCAGTATAAATTTGTTGAGAGGGGAGGTGGAAATATCAGAAGCAAATAGATTTAGCACAGAATAACGGTCAGCTCATGCACGTAAACAACGCGCGAACATTTTTTTCAGACAGTTGGCTACTGCTTTTACGTATTTCATAAGCATTTAAAAAAGGAACCCGGGATGCTCTCGAATTCGGAATTCAACACCGTTAAGCAAATTCCCAGTATGCTTGCCCCCCACCCCAGATTCCCATCCTGCAAGTTTTTGTGTCCGCTATTCTCATCTCTGCCTGAACAAAAAACTGATTGCACACCACGTGTATCAGACACAACGCCCTAATGAAAATACGACGCCAATCAATACAACAAATCACAGCTGTTTTCAGCATGGGACAACTGCCCAGTAATTGATGTAGACATCATAGCAAGAGCGTACTATAAGTATACGAATACTTAATACGCTCTTGATCATAGCCATAATAACAGACAAGTACGCTGACATAAAAATCTACGAGGTACTCTCCATGTCAATACACTTAGCCGACGTTAGGGTTATGTAGTTTGCATCAATATAACTGCGGTAATTTCCCTCTGTCGGAACACCGTGGACTGGAACACCGGAACACCAGAACTCCTGTCGGAACACCGTGGACTGGAACACCGGAACACCGGAACACCTGTCGGAACACGATACCTATATCTAACGATAATCTCCACTCATCGCGTTTATGTCCAATAAATACGAGAATGACATTTATAAACAAATGATCGACATCCTTTGCGAACCGGCGCAGTGACAGCTATCCAACATATTCTGTTCGGACTATATTATCTTCGCCGTCTTCTCTCCAGTTTGAACTCACGACCTTTCGCTATCTCATTTTAAAAACTATTCTCACTGTACACTGTACACCCAAAGCAAATTCGATCGTTTTACACACATGACAGACAATATCAATCACGATAGCGCGCTCCTATATTACAACATGAGATCGAGCTTTAAATTGACTTCTCACAACACAGAACAACCACTATTTCATATAAAGCTATATATACTCCACGTATATACGACGATTGCACATTGAGCGTTTTTGACTACAGACAGCATCTGTACACGGTTGCGACTTTTAGACAGAACGCGCGTATGTCGCACAGAGATATACTTGAACTATAACTGTCGTATACCGAATTGAGGCATAGACCATAATTTACAGGTTACTACACCGTCTCACTTAACTATATACGGCAGGCTCATGCACGCTGGAGCAGTTGAATAAAAAACGTACGAGTTTCTTAAATAATAATACATAAGCATAAAGATGACGAACTGTTGCTATGTATTGACACAAACGCATGATAAGTAGAGACGTGGCATCGCAGAGAACGTCAAAAAACAACATCTTGATGTAGACGTACAACGGCTAACATCAGACACTCACACATATGTATATAATATACAACATAAAGAAAGATTGAATTAACTAATATTTAATTATTTTAACAAACAAAATTTTTGACAATTTAGTCTCAATCACAGTTGACCTACACTCGAGTGTAGGCGCAAAAAGTACGCTAAGTTTATATATACGTATAACGACTACTTATAAAGTGAATAAATAAACAAGAGTTAATTCAATCATTGTTTATGTTTTAATCTTCATACCGATGACACGGCAGGAGTTTTATACCACCACTTCCTTTATTCTACTGACCATATTTCCGGACACTTCTGCGCATGACCGAACACGTGTGTTTCTTTATGGGTGCGATTTTTTTTTCGACATTAGACGCTGTCCCCCTGCGACATTCTTCCGGATAACGTGTCGTCCTCGTCCCTCGAGATAACGGGCGCGCCGTGCACGACAATGAGCGGCGGCCGACTCTTGCCGTTGCGACTCTTTCCGCCGGCAATCGCCGTGCATCCGCGCGTCAGAATGATGCTGAGTCCGTTGCGAAAGTGTATGTTCAGTATCCAGTAGATGACGGGATTCGCCGCAGAGTTGGCGTGCGCGAGCAGCAGCGTGAAGGGAAGGATCTCGGACGCGTCGCGGCTATTGGTGATGTCGACGTAGAGCGAAGCGAGGTTGTAGGGCAGCCAGCAAACGACGAACAGCACGACGAGCGTGATGAGCATGAGCGCGATGCGTTTACGGCTGATGCGCTTGCACTCGCTGCCGCCGCCGCCGTCCGGCTCCTGCGTGACGATCTCGGTCGTGTTGAGTGTCTTGCAGATGACATAGTGGCAAGCGACGATCACCGAGCAAGGCAGCACGTAAGCGACGACCAACATGAAGCCCGCGAAGGCGCTCTTGGACTCCGTCGACGACCAGCGCTCGATGCAGACACTCAGTTGGAAGCCGAACTCGGGGAACTGCTGGCGATCGACCTGGTGCACGTAGAGCATGGGCATCATGAAGAGCATAGAGACGAGCCAGATGATGCCGATCAGCTTGAGGCCGTTGCTCTGGTTGCTGAGGCGACGGAAGAGCGCCGGGTGCTTGATCGCCAGGTAGCGGTCGAGGCTGAGCGCTGCTAGAGAGTAGATGCTAGAAGCGACTGCCACACCTGAAACGGGTCACAGAATAGCGAACGCATGAGTGAGGGGCGAGCGTTATTGTTAGTAAGAGAGGTAGAGAGAGAATGAGAGGGGCTGAGATCGCGGGAGAGATAGAGAAGGACAGAGAGAGAGAGAGAGAGAGAGAGAGAGAGAGAGAGAGAGAGAGAGAGAGAGAGAGAGAGAGAGACAGAGAGACAGTGATCAGAGGGAGAGAGACAGGTGGAGAAAGAAGGGGAGAGGGGAAAGAGACAAAGGAATAGAGAGAGAGAGAGAGAGAGAGAAAGAGAGAGAGAGAAACAGAGATAGAGGAGGGAGAAAGTTAGTGAGAGAAGAGAGAGAGAGAGAGAAAGAGAGACAGAGAGCAGAGAGACAGGGGAAGAAAGAAGGGAAAAGGGGGAAGAGACAAAGGAATAGAGAGAGTGAGAGAAACAGACAGAAGGGGAAAAGTGAGTGAGTGAGAGAAAGAGAAAGAGAGAGAGAGAGAGAGAGAAAGAGAGGGAAAGAGAAAGAGAGAAAGAGAGCGAGAGAGAGAGAGAGAGAGAGAGAGAGAGAGAGAGAGAGAGAGAGAGGGGGGAGGAGAGAGCGAGAAGGTAGAGAGCGAGAGAGACGGGGCGGAGCGAGAGAGTGAGAGAGTGAGTGAGAGAGAGAGAGAGAGAGAGAGAGAGAGAGAGAGTGTGTGTGTGTGTGTGTGAGAGAAAATTTAATTGCCATCACATTGATATAAAGGTAAGTGTTTCGCAGAATCATCGGTCCTATTGTTAGCTGAATACAAATGTCGTCATTAATAGACGCGTAAAAAATGGCGCTCAGTGACAAACGCCATGTATAATATTTATAACAGTGGTAAACGGTGTTAGCGCCGTGAGCAATACCTGGGTAGCTGAGTAACATGGTAGAAAATTATCATTGTGCTTACACGGAAATGAAAAAGTATGATAGTTGCATTAGTGATGTGTATAGAAAGAAGAAATTCTATTTTCTGTAAAGAATAGCAAAACTCTTGTGGCCTGGAATGTATCTGCATTAGCGAAAGGTGTTTTGCAGATGTACCTGAAGCGCGTTATGACGCAGAGCTGCAGTCCCTTGATTGGTTACTATATAAAGATCATATAGAGTAACAAAGTAACTGTAAGTTGATATCACAATGAAGTTATAATGGCTCTGCAGTAATATTAGCTGCTGTTCAAAAAGGCGAAGGATTACGTTTAGTTCTTCTCCCACTGACAGTACCCGCAACAGATTTTATTCTCGACACGTACAATTTTTCTTGTAGTGTATAAGTGCAAGGGCTATATTTGACGAAAACTGCACATTGCACATCGTCTAGCACGAGTTAGTAATTAGACAGAAGCGTATCCTCTGATGTATATATATAATTGGCTGTGCTGTGCGGTTGTGCGTCGTGGTGTCGTGTGATGTTGGTGTGTGGGTTGTTTGTGTGTGTGAGTGCGTGGCGTGCGTGGCGTACCGTGCTGCGGTGTGTGCCGTGTGGCGGTGTGCCGTGCCGCGCGCAACCGCGTGCCCGTCGGTGTGTGTGTGTGTGTGTGTGTGTGTGTGTGTGTGTGTGTGTGTGTGTGTGTGTGTGTGTGTGTGTGTGTGTGTGTGTGTGTGTGAATTAGTAAGGGCGGCCGAAGGCTGATCGTATCCGACCAACATGCGGAGGTTGAATCGCGTCCCCGACGTCAGCCGTGAATAGTTGCTTTGAATTAGCGGCAACAACAACAAAACGTCTAAGTTCGTTTAGTTTTCGCGGCCCTGGTTAATTAGCCAGTGTAGACATGGTTGACTAGAACAAGTAGATACGCGCATTATCGCATGAAGACGCCAGCGACGTTATTAATTCTTTAGCAATATAGATAATAGTTCGGCGTTTTTAAAGGATTCTTAAAAGAGTTAATGATGTGCAGGTAGGCATAAAGATCATGCGTCAGCTTCGACAAGTTTGTTAAGTTTTGGAAGCTGATACGGTTGCTGTTTAGATTATGTAGGTTAAATCTCATGATAGCTGTGCGGCCATGCATACATCAATGAACTAATCCAGCAACAGCTTTACAACAATTTAAACAGTCGACTTGCCTTTTTATAGGTGCTCGCATTGAACTGATACGTCACATGTTCTTTCCTATCACTGCGCGTTTTATAATGCATTTGATCATTTTATACCCTTCCAGATGCCTTTCCATCTAAATCGGGCAGCTATCCATGAGCTTTGGCAAAATACAATTATTTGAAGACCGTGTGTCATTTATGATAGGCTCAAAAATGCTCGGGATTAGGCTTATTCCGATCCATTTGCCCAGAGAGTAAAATCAGTGGCGTTTGTATTTTCCGCATCTTGTTTTTCACGAGATGATACGCTGTCTTTCATGCGAATTCAATAAGCTTAGTTACGAACTTTCACCGAAGCTGCGCGGAAGTGAAATTTTCGAGTTTTTCATGCGGTATGAGCATGCTACTAACGTTCATGGCTTCCTTTCAACGGCTATGACACCCAAGCTGCCACCTGCCGCATATGTCGTTTAATTGGCCATTAATTTGGGCTTTACTGTGATAATTGTTAAAAGTTAATTCATTATTTACTCGGGTGTATCTTTAATTAACATCACTCCTGGTGAGAAGTGCAACGAGAAGCAGCTACATCGGCCTCCACCATTGTATGTGTCCGTCCCTCTGCGTATCCGCTCAGGAAAACTCAAGCTGACATAACGCTCTTACACACAATAACAAGATCTTGTCTCACGTCACAGTAGTCAGTTTCAAATAAGCCTCCATTAACTGCACCTGGTGACCGATAATTAATCCTGTAGCGACACAGATGCTACCGTCTATGCGGTAGTGACCACTCGGCGTTGTCACCTGAGATCAATAATGGCAAGTAATACAGTCATGAAAACATGTTAATAGATAAGTCGACGCTACTCTTGGTTGGGATAATTAGCGCTCGTCAATCAATACACGCGCGTACCGGACGCTTCGCTCCTGACAAGCGTCACATTTCACCAATGTTAGCTGATTGAATAGTAACGTAATAGATCGAAAATCGTAAACACACGCCCGTGCACACAATCGCACGTACACACGCGCACACACCCACGCACACGCACACAACCATGCACGCACTCGTGCACACACACGTATATATATACATATATATACATGATACAAATTATACATTATGCAATTATAGAATTGTTGTGAAGAAACCATTGAATAGGGTCACACGGAATTTATCAATTTACAAGACTTCCTATTGCTCGAACAAACAGAAAATTCGTGGTTTGTTACGTGTGTAATTAGGAACAAATAATGCTATTACAAGGGCCGAGTTACGTGACACATCAAGAGAAGAAGAACAGTACCTCATACTAGTCTTAAGTCAACCTATGATTTATTAACCGTAACTCAATAAAAATGAACTAAAGCGTTACTCTTTATAGTTAAATCCTTCCCGCATCATACGCATAGCGTATAGCTACAGGCGCATAGGGCGGTGCCTATCTCCGTTTCTGTAACCCCAGAGGCCCCGCAGCTGCTTTCACAGTAAATGCTACAGTAGGGGGTTAGTCCACTGGTAGCACTGCGAGTTAACTTGCCACACTCTATCTCTATTTGCTGAATGATAAGCAGAGCAGCCGTGTGTACCATTTTTCAAGTCTTTGGTAGCCGGGAGTTGAATCCCCGACCTTCCACATACGAGGCGAGCACTCAACCATTGAGCCATCGCAGTGGTACCAAGCGTTACTCTTAAACAAATTTAATTACCCTTGTCACTAACCGTTTTCCCTTGCACGAGTTTTTTAAATCACATTTTGGGTGTTTTGTACTTTTTACCGGATCTGATATAGTGTCCTCGTCCATTTGTTCAAACGCAGAATTTTTTTTATTATATTGCAATGGCGAGAAACCGTGTGTGATTTCCTTCATGTATAAAATTAAATACACATAATAAAGTTTTCATGAATGTCTGCGAAATTCACTACTAATGTAGTAAGGAAAATAACAACTATACACAACCAAAATCTAAGTATGCATGGCGAAGCTGCGTAAACTCAGAGTAGTAGTAGACGACTGTGTTTTACATCATTAAACTCTCACTAAGAATCCTGACAATTCTTTCGCCATATTTCCATCAATTTGCCTCCAATATTAACTTGGTAAGCATTTACATTCTCAACTTTAATCACGCTGTCATCACATGCGCGTAAATCCGACGTCACAGCTGGGTACGATGTCGGATCGGCCATGTCGGAGAGATTCGTGCTTATATAATTGTTATCATCCGCACGACGTCAACACGATGGCTGGACACAGGCGGCGATAATCGAATGGCGAAATGCGAGCGTGTTTTCGCTAAACACTCGTCGCGCTGATATTTGCGGCGTGATTGCGTGCATTACGAGACAAGACTCGAAACACTCGTCGCGCTGATATAATTTGCGGCGTGATTGCGTGCATTACGAGACAAGGCTCACGCGCCAGCGTAAGCAAGCATTGCGAAATATATGTTCGGCGAAATTGGCGCCAGATATATCCCCGTTGCCTAACCGCATTATATACACGTAAAATTATATACGTAAATATATTAGTAACTCTATTAATAGCACGTAATTATCTGAGATGGGCCACGAGAAAAACAACTGCCAGTGGCTAGTGTAACGTGACAAGAGACACCTTGCAGTTCAGTGCTCTGCGTAATAGGATACACCGCTGCAGTTCAGTCAATGACGTAACTAATTATTATACAACTATAAATAACGTACGTGTCATACCTGTGCTCACTAGCAAGTAATAAAAAAGCGAGAAGGGAGAGGGAGATGGAGAGGTAATGTGTGTGTGTAGGTGTGTGTGTAGGTGTGTGTGTGTGTGTGTGTGTGTGTGTGTGTGTGTGTGTGCGTGT